ATTTCCCTGTATATATTCGTTGTGGTACGCGACGATATCAGCGTTTGAAGACATCCAGTTTCCTTAGCAAACCTTAAATTTACTCTTAAGCATTGTCACTGTGGGCGTGTGTTCGTTGCTTATACTATAATGTATTGTAAAACAAAAAGTTTTAAAGTGTCATGAAGTCTTTCAGTCCAAAATTTGTCGAAAACAACTCAAGGGTAATGTCTAACTTTGGAAGAAATAGAACAGAAAGTCCAATACACATTTTAAAAGAAGGACATTAGTGGTATCTTGCATTTTTTAAACATGAAAAAATATATATTTCTGCCGAAGCTGTATGAAACGTGTTTCCAAAACATCGTTCATTTGGAAAGCTCAGCCTACGACTTAATGGAAAAAATAGAGTTGTTGGTTACCCTGTGTTACCTCACGATCTTAGCAAATTTTATTTCGCTTATTATATAGGATTGCTTTGATATTTGAAAAAAATATCCTAATGAAATATTTGGCTGCTTCTTCTGGTACCCGTTCGTTTGAAATGTTGGCACTATTAAAAACTTATCCAGATACATTGTTGTTAATAGGACGTTTAGTTAGTTTGACTATTCCCGAAGAAATTTTTTTTTTTGGGGCACCCAAAGGGCACAAACAATTCTTGACAGAATATTAATGTATTCTAACAAAATTGCTGTCTTCAATGAGCTGAGATTTTATTGAAATAAATTTTCATGCCCAACAGAAGGTTAAAAAATTGCCTGAGAATGTCAAAAATACAACTATGCGAAAATTCTTCTCGCTTGTTTTCGAGTGTCATTTGTCATTTGCTAATCCAAAGAAGGAAAAAAATAAGAAAGAAAAGAGTAAATGAACGAAATGGAAAACAAAACAAGACAAAGTTACAAACACTCTCGTACGTATAAATAGAACAATTTTATGTTAGAAGACGAAATTGTTTTAAGTTTTATGAAAATTAGTAATTTCTTCGGATATATAAATATAACCTCGACCGCCGACTCCCAAGGTTATTATTAGAAGCTTTGCTATCAATGAAAAATTTGGCGATTGTGTGAATGAAAGTTTTCGTGGTCGATATATCGCGAATGTGAATTGTTTAGAAGACAGTGTTAATTGTGGTTTTGGTTTCGAGTATAGTACTGTGTATGTTTGTTTTACTGACAACTGACAAATAGGTCAACAAATTTCTTGTGTTCGTTTAAAAAGAAAAATTGAATAAATGGTGGTCTCTTAATTAAGGTGTCAGTTGGCAGGCTTAACAAAAAGAGAAGAAATGGATAATCTTATAGCTCAGCAACGTAATCGTATGCAAACAACCAGTACATCAAATGGTGCAAGTGTAGCTGGTGTTGGGCCAAATTCCAATAACAGTGAACAGCAACCCGTTAACTTTTTGAATACTCAATTGCCTCAATTTCCAACAAGTCAAGTTGATCGCGCCGCATTAACAAATTCATCGTTAGCCAATCTATTAGATGGTCTGACGTCTCGTGTTGCTGGTGAAAGAAATCAAAATGTTGGCACAGCTTCCAGCTGTTCTTCCAATGACATAACAACTGACACTTCTGAGAAGATTGTTGGCTCTTCTTTGTCAACTACGGGTATTGTGGCGAATACAAGTGTTGCAGCCAGTTCTATAGCTAGTCTAACGAGCATCGGTTCTACTGCCAATGCTTTTTACTCATCAATTGGCCTAGCTCTTAATTCACTCACTTCCCCAATAACAGCAGCTGCTGCAGCGGCTACAGCAACCACTGCTGAGGCTGCTGCCGTCGTAGTGGCAACAATTTCTAATCATTTAAGCTCACCAACAACTACCACGCCGCCACATGATGATGTCGATGACGATGACGATGACGATTGTGATGATAATGAGGATGACGAAGACGACGAGAACGGTCGAATGCCAGCACCCACGCCTAAAAAGTCCTGGTCTGAAATCAAAAAGACCGTGAACGAAATACGTAAACAATTGTCTGGTCTATCTAGCATGGTTCCAACAAATATACAGTTTCGCAATCTCTCTGATGGGCGGGTGCGCTGTTACTTTTTAAGCACACCCCCAAATGCCTGGGAAACAACTTTATTGTACACCGATATCGGTCTTGAGGATAGAAATGAAACGTTAATTTACCAAGATTCGAATGATGCAAACTTATCAACTCAGTCGCAGTCTTCATCATCTAACCAGCCTACGGAATATCAACTAGGAATTTCCCAAAGTAACCAACAGAAAAGGTAAATGTTTCTAAATATTATTTGATAACAAGATTTTTACTCTTTAATTTGTAGACTTCAATGGAACATAGTATTACAACAACCGATATCTAATGTAGCAGTTGCATCCGGCAGTGGGAGTATAAACGTTTGGTCGCGCGAGTTTCAGCTACTACAGGAACGCAAAAGACTTTCAACTTGGGGTATTACCTCCTATGAATTGCACAAGCCAAGCGGTAAAATTGTTTTTCCATGTTTTAATGATTTATATCAATGCCTGGACACTGGGTATAATGTAAGTAGCCCGTAATCAGTCTTTATGATTGTTGCGATTGCTTCTAAAAAAATGATTTGATCATAATGATAGGCTAGCCCACTTTTCCCCATACAATTACGCACATGTCCTCAATGGGCCGCCTTAGATCCTCAGATATGCCCACAAAATTCGGATTTAATAGCATATATAAGCGGTTGTGACATTTGGGTGACGCACACACTAAGCGGTCACGAAGAACGCCTGACATTTGCTCACGACGGGCGACGTTCATTTACCGATGATCCCCTTAGCGCTGGCGTGCCATCGTACGTAATGCAAGAGGAATTTAGTCGATACCAAGGCTACTGGTGGCAACCTCATTCTGATGGTATTGTTCTTTTGCATTAGTTCACGCAAACGAGGGCTAATAATTTATTCCCTAATAGATGGCATCTACCGCATTGTTTATGAGGAGGTGGATGAGTCGGATGTGTGCCTATATACATTTCCATCTGCCCACGCTTTGCCAGGAGAAATGGAGGAGTATCGTTTTCCACGCACAGGTACAGCCAACGCAAAATCGAAGCTGAAAATCGTGCAATTTGTGCTAAATGAATCCCTGCAAATTATTGATGTCTGCGTCAAAGATTTACCATATTCTCTTACTGTGGTACTTCCCTGGTTAGAATATATTGTTCGGGTAGGTTGGACACCTGACTCAAAATAGTAAGTGTTGCATATATAATTTGGCCAACAAATAAGCCTTTAAGTAATTAACAAAATTTCAGTGTTTGGATACAAGCCATGGATCGTAAGCAGCAGCGCTTAGATTTGCTATTGATACCAGTCGACAATTTTTGCGAAACTTACAGCAGCTCAACTTCATCCCCTTCAGGTTCTACGGAACACAGTTGGAAAAGTCCCTATTGCAAGACTCTATCACCGATTCAGGTATGTTATTAGATTTTAGTCGTCAACTATAACATAACGGTTACTTGTGTTTAGGTCTTATATACGCAATTATCAGACACCTGGATTAATGTACATGATCTGTTGTATTTCTTGGAAATAAACGATGGCTCAGTCACATTTTTGTGGGCATCTGAGGAGACGGGTTTTCGGCATTTGTATTTGGTTACAGCGTGTCTTGGTTTAAAACCAATAAACGGCTGTCGAGAAGCAACCAGCAGTAGTACTATAGAAAGCAGTCAACGTTCGCCGTTTCTCGCTAGCAATAATAATTGCGGTGGTCATATGGATTTTATGGATCATACAACATTACGACCTCGCCTAGTTAATAAAGTTAGTTTTTATAACATTCTCCAGCTACGTGCTTTTCCAATAAATGCGTTTGCATTTTAGGTGGCTCTTACGTCTGGAGAGTGGGAAGTTCTTGGGCGGAATGTATGGGTAAATAAAGAACAACAACTCGTGTATTTTCTAGGCCTTCGAGAAACACCCCTGGAAAAGCACTTATACGTAGTCAATTTGCAACGGCCTGAACATATACGGCAATTGACGGAGCCAGGTTATTCATACCTTGTTGAGTTCGATGATGTAAGTAGATGTGATGCCAAATTTACGCTTTTGAAAAGTGCACGTCTCTGAATTACTTGCAGTCGTGTCAATTAATGTTGCAAGTTTATTGCAATATACAGCGTTTACCTTCTTGCAAGGTTTTGCGGGTTTCTCAAACTTGTCAGAACGGAGGAGTTAATGGTATTAAGCTGACCTTAATGGGCTATTTGCATGAAGGCGGCAAACCAGAACCACAATATTGTCCACAGATCTATTCACCGCAACTGCCAATGGGAGAGACTGTATACGCAATGGTCTTTAAACCGCACAATTTTCAATTGGGAGTAAAATATCCGACAGTGCTGAACGTTTATGGAGGGCCGGAAGTGCAAACAGTAAACAATACCTTCAAGGTAGTTTTTATTAAAAGAGGATATGCGAAGCCCATTGATTCAGCTAATTTTTCTTGATAGGGCAAACATCAATTACGCATGCATATGTTAGCTGCTCAAGGTTATTGTGTAATATGTATAGATTCGCGTGGATCTCGGCATAGAGGCACCAAATTCGAAGGACACATACGTTGTCGAATGGGCCAAGTTGAACTAAGCGACCAGGTCGATGCTCTACGTATTTTAGCCGTGCAATTGGGTTACATAGACATGAATCGAGTTGCCATTCATGGATGGTCTTATGGTATCAAAACCTGCAGCGTTTTTAAGCCACGAAACTTGTAAATTGTTTTATGTATGGCCTTCCAGGTGGTTATTTGAGCCTCATGGGTCTGGTGCGATATCCCAACATATTCAAGGTTGCCATAGCAGGGGCTCCGGTCACTAATTGGGAATACTATGATACCGGTTATACGGAGCGGTACATGGACTTGCCGCAAAACAATAAACATGGTTACACAGCGGGGTCTGTACTAAACTACATTCATTTGTTTCCGGATGAGTAAGTTAACCAAAATGCTATAAATTTCTAATGCTCAGTCTTTTAAGAAAGATTTTTTTGATACTTTCCAGTGATAATCGTTTGTTGCTTATTCATGGGTTAGTCGATGAAAATGTACATTTTTATCACACATCCCAGCTAATAAACGCTCTGAATAAAGCAAATAAACCATATACGCTGCATATATTTCCGGATGAACGCCATTCACTGCGAAATCTCGAATCGAATAAAAATTATGAAACGAAATTGTTATCATTTTTGCAAAACTTATGAATGAATGCTTGCTGCTTAGATTAATCGCGTCATATCGAATCTATTAGTTTGGTTCGTTTGACAATGAAATTAAGAGAAAAAATATCTTTTAAATGCAAAATTCTGTATTTCAATATTTGACGTTTCTTTGTATATTTTGAAGCCATTTGTTGTGTTTGTGTTAGCTGTTTTTTACATACTTATACATATACATAGATATATAATTTAAATCTTGTCTTTAAAAAAATGCTTCTAAAATTATGTTGATAGTTGTAGCGCGCAATGCCATAAAAAAATCTTGATATGTACATATACCTCTTAAATCAGTGTGGTGAACTTCTAATTGATGCAGACTATAATGGGCCGATATGAGAGAACGAATGAGAGAAGGAGGCAGTACACGATGCACACTTCCGCTGCTGTGCTCACTCTTCAACTTATTATTTTAGTATATTTTTGTAAAATCAAAAAAGAAAGTAAAAAAAGGAAACATTCAGAAAAAATAAAAATTATTAATGTTTATCAGAAAAAAATATTAAAATTGAAGGAACTGTCTTTGATAATTTCCTTCTGCGTTACCTTTTCAACAGAAAAGGAAATTCTGAAATCAAACTTTACGCCATTGCATGATGATAATGAAAAACACATCTGCTCATATCTCTCATGAGTCCACTCGTGCCTTCCGTTCAATTTTCGTTTTTTCTGAATTCGGAGAAATGCCCAGTGGGCAGTATATGATTTCCAAAACGGCTTGCTAGCTGCTGCAATAGTTTACGAATCATTGGCAACCATAGAATGTAGTCGTGATAGAAAGAAAGAACGCCTTTAATCTAAGAATTTTGAAATGTTTTGCTTTAAATATTGAGTTTTAATGGACTAGGCCAATGAAAAATGTGACTCATGTCAAAATCCTATAAAATTACTAAACTCTCTTGATATTTTTTTGATATTGAGTTAGGATGGACTAAGCCAATAAGATATGTGGCTTATATGTCGAGATAAGGAGTATGATATTGTCATATCATAAATCATCATAATAATACACACATCATAAAGCAAAAGTTGAAGCACTAAGCCAAAAAAAAATTATTAAAATTTATACAAAAGAGGCTATTAATTAAAAATGCCGAATTTAATTTTTTTGTTGCTTGATTTGATGGCGGAGCTCCTTTTCTTAAATATTGAATTCTTATTGCGCATTTCTTCTGCTTATGTTTTACGTTTTGCGATTTTATTCGAGTTCTAACTTCTCGTTAGGGCGTTTGTCCGTTATCATTGCTTCACAAAACCCGACTGAATAATGTCATTCCTCCTTTGTAATAAAAATAAATGGTTTTTATAAATAATTTCATATATGTATACCTTTTTAATACTATTTAACGAATACCTAAATATTTGCACCATTTGAATTGAAAGTCTTCATTGAATTTTATTTCACAAGCTGTAATTTCCTAATGTGAACACATACAAATAATTTAATGGTTGTTTATAAATTGAAAATAAACCGACACGCAACTAAATGGTTGTTTACATATTGAAAAAAAACCGACACGCAACTAAATGGTTGTGAATTGTAGAAGAGTGAATATATAATTACCATGCAAGACGTCGTGAGTTTCTGTTGTAATTCCTAGTTTAACAGATTTGCGCACTCAATTTCTGTTGTAATTTCTCGTTTAACGTTTAACAGAGAGCGGACCGCAATTCTCCAACTATGATTATTTCCTATTCTTTTGTTCATTCAAAGCGTTGCCATTTATTAAAGGCAAGTCTGTTCTCTCTCTATTTTCAACACATGAACTTTTTTTTATAAACCATGGAAAGGAAAAAACCAGCTAACGGTTTTTAGTGAAAAATCAAATAACTTTTCTTCCATTTCAAATCGTTCATACTTACTCAAATGGGTTATTACCCCGTTTAAGTACGTTTGTTCTGACGAAACATTTTTAAGGAATGTTTTGTATTTTGCATTGCTCTCCAGCCTCTTTGACAATCGTTTTTCGTTGATCGTTCAATTGCTGAAGACGTAGATAATAATTTAAGATTACTAACCTACTCTTATCGTATAGAAGCGTATTGGTCTTACGAAATTTGCCACGGGCAAGGCCGATATGTTTAGCGTAATTGTAGATTGTTGAGTTGTTGAAAGTGATGTAAAAATAGTGTTTCAAACTTTGGATGAAAAAAGAATGTTATAGAGATAAATTCTGATTGAACGTAAAACAATTTCATCGTAATCTAAACAGATAAATTCGCTTTTCTAATAAAGCAAGCGAGTATCCAGGGATGACGTACATTTTCTGCTGCAAATAGGTCGGGTAGGCCACCATATAATTTCAAAAAGCCAAAAGAACTCGTAATACCATCAAGCCTGTCAAAATTAGACGTTCAACAGACTCGTTAACCTTACAAACTTCACTAATATCATATGGTATAGCACGAGCCACTTTTAAATACACTTTATCATAAGTGTAATCACTCAAAAGTATATAAAGAATTTAGATTTCCCAGCAATTAACGTAAGACTCTGATAAGGGTATAAAATTAAATGTGAGATTTATTTTACAGAAAAGGTGATTGAATTTGACGCGAGCAATCTCTTCAAATACATGATTTAATTGTTGAAAGATCTGGTTACGAACTGGCCGTATTGCTTCATTGGGAGTATATTCGATGGAGGAAGTTGTACCATCAACTTAAGCCCTTTTTGCATGAAAGTCACCATTTGCTTATAAAAATAGCCGCAGTGATCAGGCAACATCCCGTGTATATGAAACACATATTGATTGTCTACATCTCTTATCTATTAGAAGTAGAGCTGACTTATTGTCAAAAAAACAACAAATTTTTTGATATTCAATAAAAGTCGTGGAAAGTTCTTCCGCGATTTTGACATTAGGAACAGTTTTAGACAGTTGCTTCGCTACCGTGAAACTAGATGTCCAACAGAGCCGTCAATGGCATATTAATATATTTTGGAAAATTACAAGATGTAAAAAGTGCAAATTCACTCTTTTTTGGAAGGCCTGTTTGTTGGCCCTGACTTTGATGATATAACATGCAGATTGAAAACCTTTGCAGGCTTGCTCATAATGCCCGCGAAGAGTTAAGCTTTGATTTAAAATTCTACCAGGAAATCGAAGGGATTTCGTCTGCTTAACTTTAATTCCTTTGATAAAGTGCCTAACATCGCATTGAGAAACTTTGGCAAAATAAATACTCGTTGTTTGGCTGGGATTAAAGTATAAGTTAAGAGCAGTACATGCATCGAAATAAGATTAGCTTTTATGGAGAGATTATTCACGGCGACAGAAAACATCTGCATATTGAAAAGTGTGAGTTTTGTCGTCTTGCAGATCAAATTCATTAGCCTCTCCTTAACCATGAGATTAATAATCTTTATGAATACAAATAATAGCGAAATGGATCTAAAGTTGCTTAAATCATTTAAATCTTTTCCTGCTTTAGGGACCGGAATAACTCCGATGCATTGCACGTCTAAGGAAATAAAGTGAATAGACGAACAATTATTAATTGTGTGTAACAGCACAGTTAAGCTGCCCGCAAACAGTTCTCTGACCATATCAATCTTAACTCCATCACAACCTGCAGCAGTAGCCCTCTTTCTGTATTTAGACTACTAAAAGAAGTTGAGACTACTAGGGGTATTGTAGTCTGATTGACGCTTGGAATATAGCTCTTGAGCATATCTAAGTATCTTTTATTATCACGCTCGTTCCATACAGGACAATAGTTCAATTTCTGAATAAAATGTCGATTACCATTGGTATAGTTCCAGGAGAAACGCATGTTGCCATTGCTACATAACTCTTCAATCATATCTTATGTGCCCTACGGGCCTTTCTAATTGCGTACCTCCATTCCTTCAGCGCTTTGATATATTCAATGAACTTTGCTGGATAGATGTATTTGCTCATTTTTTTTTTGCCTGCAGCTTGACATACGCGAAAGAGTGTTTACAGGCAGTAGTTCCACAAAGTTTTAGGTGAAAAAGACTCGATATCAAAAAAGGGGGTTCCAGCAGACTTGACGTTAGATTGAAAAATACTTTGAATTGATGATAAATTAGAATGAAGGTCAACTTTGGACAGACGGTCCGTTAGCAACTTGTGTGAAATCTAATTTTGTATTTTTTGTACAGGATTGACGGAAGTCTGAAATAAAATGGGAGAAGGTTGATTTTCGCTAATTGAGATATTAGTCGTATTCCAGTTGACTAAAATAATAGGTGAATTAGAGTGACCACTCCGATTACAATAAGGAATAGGATTACCTTTATTTAAAACTTTAAACTCTCATGGTTGGCATTCACAAGGTTCTTGCCTTTGTTGGTCTAGAACTGATCGCCAGGCCCATCGCCAAGAAAATGACATAATCTCTGAATTTCTTCACGAAAAGTTTGCACCTCAACACTGGGTAGAAAGTAGCTTGATGCTAGGAGAAGATTGTGTTTAAGATTCGTGATTTTGATGATAATAATGTCAACAGCAGAATTGCAGGGAGTACGTCTGAAATTGACACCTTTCCTAATTAGTATACTAACTCCGTCATAAAACACGCTTGAGAAACTCTATCACCTTGTTTGTTCGCTATAACATTCGGCCAAGTATCTGATGGTTTCACATGAGCAATGCAGAAAGTGCTATTACCAATTTTAATGCCAAAACCGGGCCACATTTTCTAGCATTTGTTACTAAAATCAACTTATTCAATTAGGACGAGACCTGTGAATTAGACGTTTCCAAGGAATACAGAGTTCTAAGGACCGCAGTCTCGCTAACAAGATCTTTTGCGCGGAACGGACGCCGGAAGCAGCCGGGATAAGTCCACGTTTACTGCGGCAGGGCGCAGAAGCTCTGGCCTCACAACACCTTGGGCTTTACAAAGGCAATCTTCTAACAAGGTCTGTGATCTTTGAGGACAGTCCGTTCTGTTCGAACGATCGATAATTTAAGTTAAATGTAGGCATTTGAATATTCATTCTTAGCTGCTAGACTAGGTTCTTTGTGGGCAAATAAACCCCTTTCTTTTTTTTTCAAATTACGTGTTTTAGTTGGAGTCATAACTTAATTAATAAAAGAAAATTGAATTATAACCTCTAAAGATATTAGGGTTTTTATTCAGATGAGAAATATAAATATCGAAGGTAAGGACGACTGGAAAAGCCGTTGAGGTATTTCTCCGCAACAGATGTAAAAATAATTTTTCCAAATAGGAAATATTACAAACCCCACAACATTAACTAAAAAATATGCAAATATCCCTCGCAGAAACTTTAATTAATGCAATTGAAAGAGAAAATACACAATAAAGCACCATTTCTTTAACCAGTTAATATAACAATTTTGAAAATACCGAGCTTTTTCACTTCTGGCTGAATATGTAAAGAAGCCGCTGGCTTATAAGATAATATAAAGCAAACATATTGTTATGAAATACGCTTTTGTAAGATACAGTCCGTATCACTGGATCGTGGATATTTTGATCAAGAGAAATACATTTCAAAGTTCTTTTATTTACAACTATATTTTTTGCACAGTAAGACTATTAACAATTTATTTTGGCAGTACTCTCGACTCAAATGTTCTTGTCCGACTAATTCTGCCTTCCACAAATATTCTATTTATATACATTTTTACAATCATATTGCTATACCTAATTTGGTAGTCGTTTTCCTTGGCCGGCAGCTGCATGACGCGCTGCGAATGTGCATTTAGTTTTTCCCTCTTTAGGGAGTTTGTTACTTAGCTGAAATGAGCAGGATTTGTGATTTCTGTAACAATATGTTAATTTAAAAAACAAATCTAAAAAGAATATCATAATAATTTAGGTAGAGCAGTAAATATGTAAACACGACGACGCCGCACTTACTACCAGGCCTGGGGAAAAAACCAATTTATAAGTTCATAACATTTAATTCGCTTATGTATAATATATATACAATTTATTAATTTTATAAGTTTTATGTACTTATACTGTGCGTACATAATTTAAAAAGATATAAAAGTTCTAAATTCATAAATTAATTTCTCACTCAGGAATATAAGGCTGCCACAATGGCAGCTGACCAACCATTTATCATTCACTTATGTGCTTAAAGTGTTTACAACTGTTTACAACTGTTTATAACTGTTTACAAACTGTTTACAATTGTTTAAGCGTGTTTAAGGCTGTTTAATGACATTAAAATTGACTAAAAAGTGAGTAAAAATCGTTTAAAAACATTTAAAATTGTTTTAAATCCATTGAAATTGACTAAAAAGTGACTAAAAATCATTTAAAATCGTTTAAAAGTGGCATACAAACGTTCATACACATATTTGAAAATTAAAAGTTTAATGTTTTACTGTGGTAAGTGCATTTATTATAATTAAATTCTGAACGTTACACTTTAGGTATATACATAAAAATTGTACAAACACTTACTCCCATTAACAACATGCGCCTACAAGAAAGTCACTTATACGATGCTTTTGCACACGAGCAATTAGATTCTAATTTATCAAACAGGCTATTAGATAGACATGGTGCAGCTACCAAATTTATAATTAAAATTATAAATATATCAG